CTGTAGGCGTGCACCACCACTCCCAGCTAATTTTTTACTTTTTTATACAGACGGTCTGTCTCTGTGTTGCCCAGGCGGGTCTCAAACTCCTGGGCTCATGCCATCTTCCCACCTCCCAGTGCTGGGGTTACAGATGTGAGCCACGCTGCCTGGTCTGGATCAATGTTTTTAATTTAATGCATAAAAATTTTCCTCAGCCTAGGGAGTTTTTTTGTTCGGTTTTGTTTGGTCTTGTTTTATTGAGGCAGAGTCTCCCTCTGTCGCCCAGGCTGGAGTGCAGTGGCGTGATCTTGGCTTACTGCAACCTCCGCCTCCTGGGTTCAAGCGATTCTCTGCCTTAGCCTCCCGAGTAGCAGGGACTACAGATGCACGCCACCACGCCCGGCTAATTTTTGTATTTTCAGTTGAGACGGGGTTTTGCAGCGTTGGTCAGGCTGATCTCGAACTCCTGACCTCAGGTGATCCACCCGTCTTGGCTTCCCCCAGTGCTGAGATCACAGGCACGAGCCGAAGTGCCCAGCCAGGGAGATTTTCTTTTAAAGATTAAAATGCATAAAATTTAATATTATAAGATTGGACAGGTGTGGTAGCTCAGCACTTTCAGACGCTGAGACAGGAGGTTCACTTGAGCCCAGGAGTTCAGGACCAGTCTGGGTACCACGGCGAGACACTGTCTCTGCAAAAGCTAACAAACGAGCCTGACATGGTGGCCTATGCACCTGTGGTCCCAGCTCTTTGGGATCCACTCAAGGCTGCAGTGAGCCATGATACCACTGCATTCCTGCCGGGGAAACAGCAAGACTGACTCAAAAACAAAAAAATAGGATTATAGTTTTAAGCCAACGAGAGGCGGAGGGCACACAGCTGTTCAGAGAAGGAACACACCAGGTTTTCATGTAGTGACTCTGCCTTCCACGTACCCCCTCAAGTTAAGCTGCCCACCTGTGAGTGGCCACCATGGTCACCTGTGGTCACCTGCAGCCAGAGGTTTATAGACAAGCTGCAGCAGCTGTAAGTTCCCGTGAAGGAGCCCCTGAGGCTGCCCAGCCCAGCCTGCCTGGAACAGTGGCCACATGGTGCAGCCTTGGAAGTGGGGGTGGCCACGATGACCCTGGGAACAGCTCAGACAGCTGCACATTAGTCAGCTCTGTGGTTCCTTCCCAGCACAGGCTTCCCAGAGGAAGGGACAGCTATGTGGGGACAGGCTGCAGACAGCCAGCACAGGAAGAGGGGCCACAGGCATCAAGGCCCTGATGCAGAGAAAACAAGTCCAGGCAACCCCCGAGAATGTGGAGGTGGTTGCAGCCAGGACGGGGACGCCTGGAGACAGAGCTGTAGCCACGGATTTCAACAGGACAGGCAGGTCCCCAGCTGGCAGTGAAGGGCCAGTGAGCAAGAGATTGAGGCAGCAGGGAGGAAAGGGAGCCGGGGTAGAGGAAGCAGCACACCCTGGGGATGCAGCTCTGGAGCGTGGGAAGCAAAGCTCCAGCCACTGCCCAGGAGATCTCATTGCTCTGGGCCTCCGCAACCAATTCACGGATCACAGACGAGTCTTGCTGAAGAAGCACATGGGTCTGTGTGTCCAGGTCTGTGAACTGGAAGGACCCCGAGGCTGCAGCCAGGCTCGCCAGCACCAGTGCCACCGGAAAACCTTTACCTCTAGCTTCTGCTCTGCTGGTCGAACCCAGTACAGTTCCCATGCCCAGCTGGGGTGTCATCAGGTCACCTGGCCAGATCTCACACCCTGGGCAAAGCCAAATCCTCTTGAAGCTTCCTGCAAATTCTCCACCCCACTGGGGATCCCAGGACTGAGGTTGAGCCCAGGCACCACAGATAAGCCCTCCCTCCTTCCCAACCCCTCTGTCTGGGCACAGAGCAGCCCCCTGTTCACCAGTCCCCTGAGGCCTTGGCTGCCCAGGCCAGAGGCCCAGGCCAAGAAGGAGTCCAGCCTCGTCCCCACACCACACCTGCATATGGGATGGGCCCACTCCGGAGGCCCTGCCCACCACCACCATGCCTGTCCCCAGCTTTGCCCCCAGTCTTCACACCCACTTACCCACCCAGCCCCTAGACCCATGGCAGCCGGCCCTGCTAACGCTCTCTGGTGGTGCTGGAGCAGGCCAGTGGGCCTTGACCCAGTGATCCCATGCAGACGCAATCTGTGACAGGCAGACACCTCCACCTGGGGCCCCCCGCAATAGCCCCAGGGAGACCAGGCCCAGTGAAACCCACCACAGATACATCCTGCACATACCCAGCCCTCCGACACATAGCGCCCTGCTCTGCACCCAACCTAAGCCTGCAGCAGGTCTGCAGGAGCCACCTCACCTACCCCCAGGCCTCTGCTCAGCAGCCTTGGCCCAGCGACGGCCCGGCCTCTGTGGATGCTGTGGGACTGGGGCGGGAGGAGGGCCTCCATAATCTGGAGGCCACCCTGTGCAAAGTAGGGCTCAGGGCGAGCTCAGCCAGGCAGGCTACCCCGCAGGACCTCTGGAGTCTAGATGCCCACCAGGGCTCCTGGGGGGTCCCAGTAAGGGCCCGGGAGACACAGGGGTGACCTCTCCAAGCCACATCCATCTTTTCTCTCCCCTGCAACCCCAGTACAAGAGAATCTCAAGACCAGGGGTCTGTTGGAGACCAATTTGGGGGGAAGGTCCTGGGTCCCACCCACATGACCCATCCATCAGGGGGCCCATTGTTCCAAAATCTCTCTCACACCTGTCCTGTGCCCACTGGCTCCACCACACCCTGGCCTGGCCACCACCTTTTCACCTCAAGGACAGTGGCAACCTCCCTCATTGACCCCCACCTCCAAGCGCTGGGCACACAGCAGCCCTCCAGAGGCTGTCCTCATGCAGGCACCTGCTCCTCTGCAGCAGGGTGGACCCTGCCAGGCCTCCGCAGAGAGGCTTCTCGCCCGGCCGTGGCAGCTCCCCTGCCCTCCCTCTCAGGTCTGCAATGCCAAGACGCCTGTGGGCCACTGGGGCAGCTGCCTCAGCCCGGCACCAGACACAAAGGTGTCACCACAGGAGACATGGAGCAAGAGAAGGAATGAATTCCTGGAGTTCAAGGATGATGTGCTTCCGAGAACCCTGTCAATATCGCTGACCTCACCAGTAGATTAAAGGAGAAAACCTGTGTCTCGATCTCAGAAATTCTGGTAACTCAAATTTGACGAACACCAGCAATTGTAAGCAGGGGTGATGACTACATTGTCAACACGAGAACAAATGCCCCTCGTGGCACAGCGTGGCACCCTCCCAGAGCCAGGTGGGGCTGCTGAGGGGAGGGCACGTGAGGGCGAACGCGGGCGGTGCAGGCGCACCCTCCATCCAGCGCCAGGACACGGGGCAGCATTTACCCAAGCCAGCACCTCCTCTTGGCACCTGCAACAACTCGACACACTGCTTACCAGAGCTCAGAACAGTTCGTTGAGAGGCTGGCTTCCAACGCAGTTAAAAGACCCGAGAGATTTCTTTAGGCCAGCAATAACAAGTTGGGAAAACGCAGCAGGAAAAACCCTTTGTCAGCACAAAACACTCTGGAATAAGGTAACTGACAATCGGTCAGAGCTGATGCGGGAATGCCGGGGCTCTGGGACAGCTCCAGGACCAGGCTCAGGTCCGGAATGCAGAGGTCCCAGCGGGCAGATGCCATGCTGACCTACGTGCTGACGTGGCCGCAGTTCCGCTCACCCTCCCACTGGCTCCCAGGAGACTCATTACACAAGTCCCCACCAGACAGCGAGGCCATGTGGCTTGTCTGAAGCTTCAACACTGGGTGCTGGGCAGCTGAGAGGAGTCAGCTCACCTGGGCACTGAGACAGAGACAACCCTTGGAGAAAGGACTGCAAGACCTAGCTAGCGACTTAGAAATTGTTTAAAAATTGTGTCTGAAACCTGGTGTGGTGGCTCATGTCTGTAATCCCAGCCCTTTGGGAGGCTAAGGCAGCCAGATTACCTGACTCCAGGAGTTCTAGACCAGACTGGCCAACATGGCAAAACCCCATCTCTACTAAAAATACAAAAATTAGTCGGGGGTGGTGGCTCACACCTGTAATCCCAGCTACTTGGGAGGCTGTGACACAAGAATCACTTAAACCCAGGAAGTAAAGGTGGCATTGAGCTGAGATCATGCCACTGTACACACCAGCCTGGGCAACAGAGTGAGACTCCATCTCAAAAAAAAAAAAGAAAAGAATTTAGGCCAGGTTTGGTGGCTCATACCTGTAATCCCAGCACTGCGGGCAGCTGAGGTGGGTGGATGACCTGAGGTCAGGAGATGAAAACCAGCCCAGCCAACGTGGTGAAACCCCGTCTCTACTATAAATACAAAAATTACCCGGGCGTGCTGGTGTGTGCCTAGAATCCCAGCTACTCAGGAGGCTGAGGCAGGAGAATCACTTGAACCTGAGAGGCAGAGGTTGCAGTGAGCTGCACTCCAGCCTGGGTGACAAGAGCAAGACTCTGTCTCAAGAAAAAAAAAAAGAACTTATAACAGTTCACATTCTTCCCTTCACTAAACTTTAAAAAAATAAACTAAAAATCATGTTGGAATAGAAAATATTCATGTGACTCCAACACTGAGCAAGACACAAGCCTCACTCCCCTCCTCCTCCCTGCCTCCCCTTACCCACACATGCAATGTGAAAATCACTGTTAGCGGCTTCCTATTTATTTCTCCAGAATTTCTTTACGGAAAAGCAAGCAAATACCATGTGATTCTTGGTTTTCTCTTTCAACACAAACGGTGAAATCTCCCAGGCACCGTTCTGCCCCTGCTTTCCCATCCTCCCGGCAGCTGCAGGCCTCCGGCTCTGCACAGGGACCTGACCCTGGCCGCGCAGAGCCGCACGTGTGGGGCCAGCCTCTGAGCGCACCCAGGCCGGCTCCGTCTTCTGCTTTGACACACACTGCATTTGTGGCTCTGACAGACACTTTCTCTGGCCTGGTTCCCACAGCTTCACCAACAGAACCTTGAAATCCAGATTTTTTTTATTGTTGCCAATACGATCGGTAAAAAATGGCATATTGGTGTAAATAAAGCGTAAATTTTGAAAACCACTTACCCCAGAAATTCCATTTTTAACACCAGTCATGTTGACGCACGACGAACCAGCTACAGCGCTGTGCACTGCAGACGTTTCTAATATATAAAAAAAAAAAATAGGTCGGGCCTGGTGGCTCACGCCTGTAATCCAAGCACTTTGAAGGCCAAGGCGGCGGATCACCTGAGGTAGGGAGCTCAAGACCAACCTGACCAACATGGGGAAACCCCACCTTTAAAAAAAATAATAATAATAAGCTCAATGTCCTATGAGAAAGCATTGATCGGTTTTGCCATACAGAGGAATGCTGTGTTGTAAATTAATGTCACAGAGACACGTCCAAGCTGTATCAGTATCACTAAGTAAAACAAGTTACATATGTCTAAAATACTTCATAACGTTAAATTATGAAATTACAGATGAATTAACACATACTAAAGAACGCTGTGCATGCTTTTTCATTTTTCTATTTTTTTGAGACAGAGTCTTGCTCTGTAGCCCAGGTTCACTGCAGCCTTGACATTCTATGTTCAAGAGATCCTCCCACCTCAGCCTCCCAAAGTGCTGGGATTACAGGCATGTGCCACCATGCCCAGTGTACTCACTGTTTAAAACAATGACTGTGGAACATAGGTTCTACATTAACCCACTCCTGAAGGACGGCTGGGGGTAGGTTGAATGGTGGCCACAAAAATACATGTCCATGTCCTCGGAGCTCATAAATGTGGCCTTATTTGGACACAGGGTCTCTGCAGATCTAATTAAGTAAAGGATCTTGAGATGAGATCATCCTGGATTACCTGGGTGGGCTTTAGACAAGGAGAGACACAGAGGCAGGGGCTGGTGTGACGCAGCCACAAGCCAAGAAGCGGTGGAACTGGAAGAGGCGGGCGGCTGTTCCCGATGCCTTCGGAGAAAGCGTGGACCTGCCGATGCCGGAATTTTGACTTCTAGCCTCCAGAGCAGTAAAAGGATCTGCTTCTACTGTTTTAGAGCACTCTGCTTGTGACTCTTCCCTGTAGGAATCACAGGGAGTCAATACAGACAGTGAGCAAGAGTGGGGTGCTACTGTGGCAAGTACCTGAAGACGTGGATGTGGCTTTGGAACTGAGTAATAAGCAGAGGCTGGGACATCTTGAGGCACACAATTAAAGAAAGCCTAGCCTGTCTGACCAGACTGTTGGTAGAAATATGCGTATTAAAGGTGCTTCTGGTGAGACCTTGGAAGGCAACAAGGAACATATCATTGGAAGGCAGAGGAAAAGTGCTTCTTACACTGAAGCAAAACTTGGCTGAATCGTGTTCACCGTTGCATGCTTAATAGAACTTGTAAGCAATGAACTTGGAAATTTAGCTGAAAAGATTTCCAAGCAAAGTGTGGAAGGTGCAGCTTGGCTGCTTCTTGCTGCTTATGGTGAAGTATAGGAAGAAAGAGATACATTGAGGAAGGAAATGTTAAGCAGAAAGGAACCAGCAGGGGTGATCTGGGATACGTGCAGCTGATTTAGATTGCCAGTGATAATGTTGGGAGGTTCACTGTTAGGAAAGTGTGTTCTGCAGAGAAAGCTATCTCTGGAGAGATGAGGTGTGTGAGTCATAAGTCCATTCACCCGTCTCAGCAGAAGCCAGAAATAGAGCCGAGATTACCCAGGGAGGAGCCGAGTGAACCCTCCTCTCTAACGGGCTGGCTCCCTGTGACATACAAGGGAGACCCAGAAGGTTTATGAGAATGTGGTACCAGTAGAAACACTGTCCACCTGGATTGAAGGGGACAGAGACAGGATGAAATGAAGGAAGGGCCTGGGCTTCTGCAAGTCTACAGGAAAGAAACAGGATGACAGTCCCCGGCAGCCACAAGCATGTGCTGCCCTTCAAGACAAAGGAAGAATGACTCCAAGGTCAGAGCCTCAGGCCTAGAGGCAGAAGCCGGAAGAGCTGCAGGTACAGAGGGAGGAGCACAGCCACAGAAGGGCCTTCCCAGGCCTCGAGGCCTCATGGAATTCACCCTGCTGGATCTCAGACTCGTGGGGGACTGGGAACCCCTCCATTCCTTTATATTTCTCCCTTTGGGAATAGTGATGTCTAATCTATGCCTAACCCAACGTTGCAGTTTGGAGGCATAAAACTTGCTTTCTAGTTTTACGATTAAAAAGATGGAGAAAAATTGTGCCCCCTTCTGGACCCTACCCAGAGCCTCACCAACACCTGATTTAGACACAGCTTCAGTGCTCGGATTCAGGACTTCTGAGCTGATTAAATGTTGTTGCTCCTGTTTTTTTAAGATAGGGCCTCGTTCTGTCACCTGGGTTCAGCCTCCAGGGTTAAGTAATCCTCCTGCCTCTACCTCCTGAGCAGCTGGGACTACAAGCCAGGTGCTACCACACCTGGCTAATTTTTATTTATTTATTTTTTGAGACGGAGTCTTGCTTTGTCACCCAGGCTGGAGTGCAGTGGCACAATCTCGGCTTGCTGCAACCTCCACCTCCTGGGTTCAAACGAGTCTCATGCCTCACACACCTGAGTAGCTGGGATTATAGGTGTGCACTACCACGCCTGGCTGATTTTTGTATTTTTAGTAGAGACAAGGTTTTGCCACGTTGGCCAGGCTGGTCTCCTGATCTCAAGTGATCCACCCACCTGGGCCACCCAAAGTACTGGGATTACAGGTGTGAGCCACTGTGCCCGGCTGAGCTGATGGAATTTTAGACTTAGAGTTGATGCTACAATAGGTTGAGACTTTCGGACATGTTGGGATAAGAAACATTTATTTTGGAAGTGGGGCAGATATAAATTTTGAGGGGCCAGGGGACAGACCGTAGTGGGTCCCCAAAAGATACATCTATGAACAATTCTCTGGAACCCATAAATGGAATTTTATTTGGAAAAAGGGTCTTTGCAGGTGTGATTAAGACAAGGATCTTGAGATGAGATCATTCTAGATGACCCAGGGGGAGGCCTGCAGCCAGTGCCGGGTGTATTATAAGAGATGAAGAGAAGCCACAGGGGAGAGGGCCACGTGAGGGTGGATGGCAACGCTGGAGCAGTGCGGCCACGAGCCCAGCCACACCGATGGTCGCAGGAGCTAAAGAGGCTAGGAACAGAGCCTGCCCTGCAGCCTCTGAGGGAGCGTGGTCCTGTCAGCATCTTGAATTTGGACGTCTGGGCTCCAGAACCATGAGAGAATACATTGCTGTTGTTTTAGGTTTGTGGGTACACGTGACAGCGGCCACAGGAACTTCAAACAGGGCACATTCTTTGGGGGTATTTGTATTCTGCAAGCGACCATGCATTCTTGTGGCCGTCATGACAGTGGCATCCAGCTGTGTCTCTTGGGCCTATCGTGAGCCTGCTCGGTTAGCTTCCCAGGTAGCCAAAGAAGAGAGAGATGCACTTTCGAAAGGTCAAAAGACACATTCATTTGAAAAAACAAAAGAGCAGAATAAAAATCGTAAAAGCCACACCCGAGACGCTTACTGCAGACACCTCACACTTGATCTTAGGCAAAAGACAGAGGAGCGATACTGAAGACACCTCTTCTGCTACACCTGCAGACTCGCACTTCCAGTCCTGCCCAGCCCTGCCCCCTCCCCCGTGTGCCCCTGCGGATGGCCTTCCCTACCCTCACCGTCCCACTTGGCCCCAGCCCGCCGGACACACCAGTCTGCCCAAGAGCACCCACACTCAGGCCAGCCACGCTGACGCCGTCCTGGGGCCTTCCTTTCCCACAGCACTGGCCCTGGGTGTGCCCCTACTCCTGGAGCCACATGGGGACACAAGGTGACCCCCATCCCATTCCTGGTTCTGGACCCCCTTTGCTTCCCGGAAGTAGCAGCAACAGTCCCGGCCAGGAGCTGACCACCAGCTGGGAGGACTCTTCTGCAGCCAACCAGGACCCAGACTCCCAAAGAACAGAGGCAGAGAGGGAGGAGAGCAGGCCCTGCGGGCCAATGACCCCAGGGCTACGGGATGCTGTCTGCCCAGCTGGCACTCTCCTTCCACCATCTGAACTGCAGTTCCCATCTCCCCTTCTGCCTGGTCTGCCGTCATGCCAGGCCACCGCCCCTACAGATGACCTGGCCCATGCCCCGTTTTGGGTCCCTGACCTCACGACCCACGGCCCCTGCTCTCCCAGCCCCACCGCTCCCTGCCCACTGTGGGTATGTGGGCATCACCCATCCAATCTGACCACACCCCACGCAGTCCCACTGAGGTCCCTAACACCCCCTCATCACCTGGTCCCAGCACCATCCAGGCCTCACCCTGCTCCCAACGAGGCTCTGCTTCCTCACGCCCCTCCCTCCATCACCGAGCCACCAGGCCCCCTCGCTGTGACTGCTGCACAGCTGCCCACTACCCTGCTTCCTGGCTGCCTCGTCTCATAGGCCCCTAAGCTCTGGAGGACCGCAGACTCGGAGCTCTGGCTGAAGGCCTGCCCCAGTGCTGGCCCCGAAGCATTGCCTCCAGCCTGGCCTCCCCAGCTGAGCCTGGGATTTCCTGCACCTCGGTGTCTGCACATGCATTCCTATCTCACAGGCATCTCTGATTTTATGCACCCAAGGCAAAGCTCCGGCTCTTCCGCCCTCTCTGTCACAGGCGATCCCCTCCACCCCAGGCTGCTCTCCACCTCCACTGCCACCACCAGGGTCTCCAGCTGCTCCTTGGGAGGCACCAGGCCAGGATCTTGCAGGGGTCCAGCCAGCTCCAAGTCTACCTACCTCTCCCACACAATGCATGTTTCATGCCACACCTGCCACAGGACAGGGTGGGGTTCGGCTCAGGGGTACAGAGGTGCAGCGACACACAGCCCCTGAGTCAGGAAGCTGGATGGGTGGAAGGGGAGATGTTTACAGTCATTGCTGTTACCCAAGAGCCCACAGCCAGACCCCGTGAGCGAAACACCAAGTGTGACGCTGAGCTTCCTTGAACATCTCTGCCTCAGCCCCAAGCAAATTCCACAAAGATTAACAATGGAGATGTTTAAAAAAATGCACCAGTGTTGGAAGCAACTCTCAGCAGATGTTTTTATAAAAGAAGGCCATTTTAAGCATAGCATAAAATCTAGAAATCATAAAAGACTGGTGAATGTTAAAAATTGATATACTTGGCCGGGCAAGGTGGCTCACACCTGTCATCCCAGCACTTTGCAAGACCAAGGCAGGTGGATCACCTGAGGTCAGGAGTTCGGGACCAGCCTGGCCAACAAGGTGAAATCCCATCTCTACTAAAAATACAAAAATTACCAGGGCGTGGTGGCGGGCGCCTGTAGTCCCAGCTACTCAGGAGGCTGAGGCAGGAGAATTGCTTGAACCGGGGAAATGGAGGTTGCGGTGAGCCGAGATCACGCCACTGCACTCCAGCCTGGCGACAGAGCGAGACTCCATCTCAAGAAAAAAAAAATTGATATACCTAAAGACAATATAGACAGAATTAAATCAAAATTGATGCGTGGTGTGAGATCCATCCATGGTGTGACCAGCTACTGGGGACACAGGGGGACCTTTCAAGGAGCTGGGAAGTTCTGTTCTGTGAGCTGGTGCTGATCACAGGCAACTTCAAAATTTAAGCTGAATACAATTGTATCAGCAGGGAATGGGTTCTAGACTCCCTACGGATACCAAAATCCACAGATGATGAAGTCCCTGACATAAAAAGATGTAGTCGCCAGGCACAGCAGCGGCTCACACCTGTCATCCCAGCAATCTGGGAGGCCAAGGCAGGAGGATCCATTGAGCTTAGGAGGCTATTTTGTTTTGTTTTGTTTTTTAAGAGATGGGGGTCTCACTATGTTGCCCAGGGTGGTCTCAAACTCCTCTGCTCACGTGAGCAGCCCTGAAAGCATTACGGCAAGTCAAAGAAGCCAACACAGGGCTATATTCCATTTACATGTGAGCACAGGAGTTTGAGACCAGCCTGGCCAACAACAATTCTGAATAGGCAATTCACAAAAGAAAAGCTGCAAATGGTCAACAACTCTAGGCGATGATTAATTAACAATCAAAGAATTCAGGCCGGGGGTGGCTCAAGCCTGTAATCCCAGCACGGTGGGAGGCTGAGGCGGGGCGGCTCACTTAATGTCAGGTTCAAGACCAGCCTGGCCAACATGGGGAAACCCCATCTCTACTAAAAATACAAAAATTAGCTGGGCGTGGTGGCACACACCTGTAATCCCAGCTACTTGGGAGATTGAGGCAGGAGAATCGCTTGACCCCCCCAGAAGGCCAATATTGCAGTGAGCCAAGATCACACCACCGCACTCCAGCCTGGGTGACAGAGCAAGACTCTGTCTCAAAAAAAAAAAAAAAAAATTGGTGTGAAGCTGCATGACTTGGGTTAGACAATGACTTCTTAAATATGACACCAAAAGCACACGCAACCAAGCAAAAACTTAGATAAACTGGAGTCATAATAATTAAAATGTACGTGCTTCAAAGGACACCACCGGCCAGGCGAGGTGTTCCACTCCCGTAATCCCAGCACTGAAGGAGGCTGAGGCCAGGAGTTTGAGACCAGCCTGGCCAACATGGTGAAATCCCATCTCTATTAAAAATACAAAAATTAGCTGGGTGTGGTAGCACGCACCTCTAGTCCCAGCTGCTCGGGAGGCTGAAGCACAAGAATCACTTGAACCTACTCCAGCCTGGGTGACAGAGCAAGACTCAGTCTCAAAAAAAAAAAAAAAAAAAGACACCAGCAGCAAGTAAAAAGGCAAACCACAGACACAGAAAATTTTTGCAAATCACGTTTCTGATAAGAGACTGGCATCTAGAATATATTAAAAAAAATTACAATTCAATAATAAGAAAAGCCAATTTCTAAAATGGACAAAGGATTTAAATACATATTTCTCTAAAGAAAATATAAACAGTGACCAACAATCACATAAACGTGCTCAACGTCATTAGCCTTCAGGAAATGCAAATCAAAATCACAATTAAGATCCCACTTGACACCCACTAGGACTGGATGTCTGTAATCAAAGGGTCAGATAATAACAAGTGTTGATGAGGATGTGAGGAAATTGGAAACTTTGTGCACGGCTGTTACTGGGAATGCAGAATGGCGCACCCACTTTAGGAAGCAATCTGGCAGTTCTTCAAATGGTTAGATATAGAATCGCCACACAGCAGAGCAATTCCACTCCCAGGCATCTACCCCATAGAAATAAAAAAATACGACCACACAAAAACATGTATTTGAACGTCCGGAGCAGCATCACTCCTAAACACCCAAAAGGTGGAAAGAACCCACCATCCACCAACCGACGAACTCATAAGCAAAAGTGGGCACTTCCAGACCACGGAACCGACTCCGGCGTGGGGAGGGTGAGCAGCCCCGAGACGTCCCGGCAAGTCAAAGACACCAGACCCAGGGCCAATACAGACCAGTACAGACCACTGTGGGTCAAGGAGAGCAGTGTTGCCAGGGGCTAGGTGACAAAAACGTCCTGGAACTGACAACTCTGAATGTACTAAAACCACTGAATTGGACACTTCGAATGGGTGAATCGTATGGCATGTGAATTACACCTCAATAAAGCTATTAAAAAATACTAATAATCAGGCCGGGCGCGGTGGCTCACGCCTGTAATCCCAGCACTTTGGGAGGCCGAGGCAGGTGGATCACGAGGTCAAGAGATCGAGACCATCCTGGTCAACATGGTGAAACTCCGTCTCTACTAAAAATACAAAAAATTAGCTGGGCATGGTGGCACGTGCCTGTAATCCCAGCTACTCAGGAGGCTGAGGCAGGAGAATTGCCTGAACCCAGGAGGCGGAGGTTGCGGTGAGCCGAGATCGCGCCATTGCACTCCGGCCTGGGGAACAAGAGCGAAACTCCGTCCCAAAAAAAAAAAAAAAATACTAATAATCAGCCTGAGGTCAGCCTAATTGGTGCTGACAGGAAAAGCCAGTGGCTGCAGAGGGAATCACAGTCTGAGCTCCCGGAAAGGGGTGTCCAAGTCCACGTCTTCTCTCCCACCCTCTCTCAGTGAGCACTCGGCCTGAAGCCTGGGCCCAGAGCTGTGACTCTCTCTGTTTTACTTCGTATACTTCCACCCTGCTTGATTTTTTTTTTTTTTTTTTTTTGGTGCATTTTACTTTTGACAGTAAACACCAACCAAAATTCCTCTCCAAAGGGCCCCAAATAACCTGCAGCCTCCCCTCTGCCAGCTGAGCGCTGGCCGCTGCAGACGGCGCCCTGCGCCATCACCCACTCACCCATGCAAACACCCTGCAGTGCTGGCTGAGGGCCCGGGGCCAGTGCCAGGGACAGATAACCAAGCTCAGAGTCCAGGAGAGGGGAGAGTGGGGACACATGAGCAGGGCACCAGGCACAATGGCACTGGGCAGGCCCAGAGCCGGCGAGGGGTCCTGAAGAGCACGCAGGCCACAGGCTGGGCACACGCCCTGTGGGCACCAAACACACCCAGCCCTCTCCTGGCCCACTTTTCCCCCAAACCAACGCAGGCCCCCCACCCCTGGCCCCTGCCCCACACCAACCCCACCCACTCACCGACAGTACTCTCCCCTGCCTCATTCTCACCCCTGCTGCCCCTCCAGGACCACCTCGAAGCACCCCTAAGCCCCACTACCATCCCTAACACGACAACCCCCCCCTGCTGCCCAGGCCCCTGGCTGGCCCCACTCCCCACTCTCTGCCCTGCGCTCATGCCCCGACCCCCAGGACGGGCCCCTGCCGGCAACGCTGCAGCACTGCTGGACAGCTCTGTCTTTATTCACCGACCACCTCACCTCCACGCACCTGCATTGCCACAACTCTCCCCTAGAACTGTCCCCGCCCTGCCGTACCCACCCCAGGCCTATCCAGGCTCCCGTGGTGGGGCAGGACAGCCCAGCCTCTATGAGCTGTCACAGGCCAGGCCTGGGGGGCCGGGCAGCTGGACGCCTCTTGGCGGCTGGGCCAACTGTCTAAGTCACCAGTCCACAGCCCTCAGCACTGGGAGGCCTCTCCCACGGGGCGCTCAGAGCTCTCCCGCCATAGGCCACAGTGGCCTCAGTCCCAGAGGAATCTGTCCTGGATGGGGGGCAGGGAGAATGGGGGAGCTGAGGGGCTCAGGGAGACAGGAAGTTGGAAACGCTCTGGGTGGAGCAGTGGCCAGCTGACTGTACCAGAAAGACTGGGGATTTCCAGGGGAGAGCCAGGGAATGACGTGTTCAGGGGAGGGTCTGAGATGTTGTGGGGTAAGGGGTGAAGATCACCAGGGTGAGGGACAGGGAGTTGTCTCTGTGAGAGGGCAGGGTGAGGTGGAACCAGGGGCAATGCCACAGCGGGGAGGAGGCGGGGAGACTAAGCCAGAGCATCTCTCAGTTCAGGGATCAGCTGGGCAGGGGTCCCTGGGCACAGGCCTGGCCTCCCTGCCCTCCTTGGAACCAGCAAATGCTGAGCTGGGCCCAGGACAGGGGCCCACAGCTGCTTACCATGGAGGGACTCAGGCTGCCTCCCCGTCACCGGCTGGCTGGCAGGAGGTACCATGCCCTCCTGCCTTCCCTCTCTGGGGATATCCTCCCAAAGTCCCTCCACCCTAGGGACAGGAAGGGCCAGGGCTCCAGCCATCTAGCAGGTCCAAGGGGCTCACAGTGGTCAGGCCTAGAATGCTGTAGGGCACAGGGGGCCACATCTGACCTCCTGCAGCCCTCCTCAGCCTTGGCCCATGGCTCCCAGACACAGGTACCAGCCCAGCCCCTCCCTGTCCCCTTGTCGCCTGCCAGGAGCTAAGGAGACTTGGAATGCCTGGTGCACTCACGGAGCCTCAGTGCCTGCCTTCCTGCTTAGCCACTCTCCGGCCAGTGCCACACACATGCGGGCAGCTGCACCATCACGTGATGACTCCACTTCAGGCAGGCACCCCGGCACCCCCTGCCCCCTCACCAGCCTCCACGACCAAGCCCAGAAGGACTCTGTGTCCAACACCAACCCTGGCCTCCAGGGGAGCTGAGCTGGGGAGGGAAGGCCCTGAGACAGGGTCCCAGCAACCTCCAGCGATCTGTCTGGCTCACGCCCTGGATGAATCAGAAGTAACCCCCACCACAGGAGGTAGAGGGAAGACAGCCTGGGGGCCAGGAAAGCCTCAGCACAACGCCCAGGACAGGCTGGGGCACCCTAGGCAGCCCAGCAACCTGACCAGACCAAGAACCCCAGGTGTAAATGATTCTGCACAGGTCCCACACTTTGAACGGAGTGGTCAGCTTA